GACCCTCGCGACTCCACTTTTGATGGCCTCGTCCATTCCGGCGCCTGATCCTCCCTCGCTCTGGCTGGAGCTCGAGGTTGACGGCATTGCCGACGGCATTGCCGACGGCATTGCCATTGCCGCAGGGAAGGCGGGAGGCAGCGTCGGCACGGCGTTGCCCTCCCGCGCGGGCTGCATCCCCGCGCGAGCAAGGCTTGTCTCCGGCCCGGCAGGCGGCGCGAGGGCCGTCGGGCCGCAGGACGACAAGGCCGAGGGCGGCAAGGCCGAGGGCGGGAAAGTCGAGGGCGGGAAGGTCGTGCCTGAGGAATGGTCCGAGAAGGGTCCGAGTCAGAAGGGTCCGAGAAGGGTCCGAGACAGGTCCGAGAAGGGTCCGAGGTAGGTCCGAGGGAGGCGCGGCGCCGCCTCCTCTCCTGTACTGTGTTCTGTGCTCACATCGATGCCGTGTGCATGTGTCCGGCTACCCTGCACACGAGCACACATCTCTCTGACGCGAGCCGTTTCACACACACGCCGCAAGATGGGCGGCACCGACTCGGACCGCCAGACAGCGCCAGATCTCGGCTGCATCTCGGAGCTGCATCTCGGAGCCGCGTCTCGCCTGGCCCAGTTGGCGGCGGCGGTTGCGGCGGCAGCGGCAGCAGCGGCAGCGGTGTGGGCGGCTTGCTGGCCGTGGTCGGCGCCGCGCCGGGCGGGCGCTGCAGAGGCGAGTCGCGTGGGGGCCAGCCGCTCCCTCCGCTGGCCGGGGGAAGGCCGCTCCAATGGCAGGCCGGCACCTGCCCCGCCGCCGGCATCATGCCCAGCATGCCCTCCGGCATGGGCGGCGGCATGTCTCGTGGCGCCGCCTCCTCCGCCTTATCTCCCGCCACCTCCACCCCCTCCTCCATCGCCTCGGGCGCAGAGGCCTCCCCCGCCCCCACCGTCTCCCCCTCCCCCCTCGGCCACGGCTCGCATGCCGTGGCCTCGCTCTCCACCCAAGCAGGGGCGCGCGGGGCGTGCGCGGGCGCCCCCACGGCGGTCGACGCGGCCGGAGCCGCAAAGCACGCTGGCGTCGGCGCAACCCCGGCCAACCCCGTGCCGCCGCTCGTGCTCGCCCAGACGCCCTGCTCGACGGGTATAGCGACCACCGGCGTCGGCGCGAGGAACTTCCAAGCGGAGCTATCGAACGACGTCTGCACGCCGACCGGATGCTGCCCGCCGGTGCCGGTGCCGGCCTGCCGCTGCGAGTTGAACATTTGCAGCCTGCTCTCCTCGATCTCCGCCGGGAGCGAGGAGAGGCTGCCCGCTGCCGCCTCGCGCAGGCCGCCGTGAAGCCCGCCGGGCACAGGAAATACACTCGGAACGGCGTGGAGGCCGCCGGGCACCCGAACGGCGTGGAGGGCAATGGGCGCAACGGGCGCCTGCTGCATCGCCTGCCGCCGCGCAGCGATTGAGACCGCCGCATCCAGCGGCGATGTGGGTCCGCTTGGAGCCACGGGCTGCTCTTCCGCCGCCGCCGCCGCCGCCGCCGCCGCCGCCTTTGCCGCCGCAGCCTCCGCCGCCGCCGCCGCCGCCGCCTGCACCTCGGCCGCCCACCCCGCCGCCTGCTCCGCCCAGCGGTCGCCCGCTGATTGCGACTTGTGCAGTGCCTTGTGCACTGCCGCCTGGAGCCGCAGTGCCTGGAGCGGCGGAGGCGGCCGGCCCACTGCGGTGGCGGCGGTGGCTGCGGTGGCAGCGGTGGCTGCGGTGGCGGCAGTGGCGGCGGGAGTCCTTCCACATGTGTACTTCGACTCGAGCTTAGGGTCCCGAGCGCGTTTGTTCTGGACGGCAGAAGCGGGGGAGGGGGTGCGTTGAGGACGGGTATC